TCCCTATCCCTATCCTCACTCCTGTTAGCTACAATTCCCTCTGAATTGACATTTCCAGCCTGTCTCAGCAATCTAACACTACTACTACTATTGAATCCTCCATCCTTTGTGTAGCTGCTGAATGTCCTATTTGAGCCACAGAAGCTCCAGAGACTTAATATTTCCCCAAACATTTTCTTCAGGCTTCTAACATCTGCTCCAGAAGCATTTTGTTCCGAAATTGTAAATCCAGTTAATACTAATAGACTACCTCGTTTCAACAGTACAGGCAAGTACAGAGTTAGGAATCTTCAAGTATAATATAGTCCATTAAATTTCATTAGATATTTTTCCATAGAATATCCATCTTGCTTCCAATGTCTGATCATGCCACATATGCATTTAACATGTCATCCTCCTCATACAATCTCTCCATAAATTTTAATACTGTTTCCAAACCATCTTCAAGCCCAAGTGTTGAGCCTTTAGATCTGAGAATAATTAGCACCTTGGTTTTAGCAATACATGACAGTGCTGAGGCCATTCCTTACTATTCTCTTAGTAAAGACATAAACTGTACTTATTTATCCACTTCACTTTCCATTTATTGTAATGTTCAGCTTCACAAAACAATCAATGGAAAGTCATGTTACTTCAGCTGTTCCTCAAAGTAATTCCAGTTACAACCCTGTGTCTGAAATGATCTCTTAGTTTCCAATCTTCACCTTTAGGCAACTAATGACAATTTGCTACCTGTGACAATCTGGACCCAAGCCAGTTGGACAGCCCGGAAACAAGACACCTTTCTTCGCGGATAGTTTATTAGCCATTCAGTCTTAAAGCTCCTTCCACACATTAGTCCCACCTGTTCCCATCTGTTTTTAAACCCACCGGAAAATCACCTGAATAAAACAGCTATACAATGAACTATTTACAAGCACAGCCCACCAGGGGCAGTACAACAGTGACAAAAACACAAAAAGGTAAGGTAACCAAGGGAGGGGCTAAATCAAAATGTAACTGGTCCAGGAAATAATGCACTTCAGTCCCTGTGGTGCCCACCTCTGTCTAATTGCCTTGAGAGTGTTGGTTGTTGGTAAATATTGCCCAGTCCATTTCCAAGAATAGAGACATAAAAACTGCAGATGCTGGAATCCAAGGTAGACAAACAGGAGGCTGGAAGAACACAGCAGGCCAGGCAGCATCTGGAGGAAAGGAGCAGTCAACGTTTTGGGTATTACCTTTCTGCAGGACTGGATGTGGGGGTAGGGAGAGCTGCAGATAAAGAGAGGGGTGGAGGGAATGGGAATGGTGGTGATAGGTGGACACTGGTAGTAGGTACGACCTGGTTGGTTGATGGGAGGGATGAATCCAGTTGGTGGCCGGAAGGGAGGGTCAGAAGGTCGAATGGAAGGGAGGAGGTGGGGCTGGAAGGGGAGCCAGGGGAAGGGTGGGAACGTTATTTGAAATTGGAGAACTCAATGTCGAGTCCTCTGGGCTATAGGGTGCTCAGGTGGAAGGTAAGGTGTTGTTCCTCAAATTTGCATTCCATGTCGCTGCGACACTGGAAGAGGCTAAAGACAGACATGTCGGAGGGGGAGTAGGGTGGGGAGTTCAAATGGGCAGTGACCGGGAGGTTAGGTTGGCCGTTACGGACCAGGCGAAGATGCTCGGCCTTCCAAGGATACTCAGGCACAAACACAGCCGCTTTGGCCAGGCCCAGGAGGAGGTTCTCAAACCTGTCTATCCCCTTCCACACTGAGTGCCCAAAGATCAGGAGTGTGAAGCTGAAATGCAAACCTGTGCTCTTCTTATACCCAATCAATTAATCAATCAATTAAACAAATTAATGTCAGAGAGCTCTGGAGAGTGTTAGCAGATCTTCACATCTATGCCATCGGAGTAGGTCACTTATCCACACAAGGCTATGGAGGTAAGGGCATGCCTCTGGCTCTGTAACATAACGAGCAGTTGGAGCATAGGCAATGAAGTGAATGAGCTCTGTTCAATGCCCTCTGCCAACCTGCAGCTGGGTTTTCTCCTTGTTTCTGGGCAATGACAGGGGGATGCCTGACGGGTCTGCCAATACATCCAGTCTCCTGGTGTTACCCCCAGGGAAGGCGATGGCCTAGTGGTATTATCGGTGGACTGTTAATCCGGAGACCCAGATAACATTCTGGGGACCCAGGTTTGAATCCCACCTTGGCAGATGGTGGAATTTGAATTCAATAAATATCTGGAATTAAGAATTTAACGATGACCGTAAATTCAAGGTTGATTGTCAGGAAAAACCTATCTGGTTCACTTATGTCCTTTAGGGAAGGAAACTGCCGTCCTTACCTGGTCTGGCACACATGTGACTGTTAAGTGCCCTCTGGGCAATTAGGGATGGGCAATAAATGCTGCCCAGCCAGCGACGCCCTCATCCCGTGAATGAATAAAGAGAAAAATCACACCCATTATCTCCATGAACACTCTCCTGTATGTGATTCCCATTAATGCCCTTGAGAGAATCCTCCACAGCAGATCTCACTTGCATCCTTGTCCTCTGATGAACTGGCTAAGAGACAATCTTTCACTTGCCTACAACTCGATATCCAACTCCAGACAATTATCCAGGGTCCCTGCAGTGTCAGCTGATCTTTCTTCTTTCCCAGACTGAGCAGCATGCGGTTCTTGTGTGTCAGAAACTCGAAAGGGATAAAGTATGTGCTGGGAAGAGGATTTGGATGGGACACTATGGGATCAACACTGGAGGAGAAAGTAGGATATGGGTGAACTAGAAGCTGAGAAGCATCATAAGGCAGGAATACAGTTTCATCTTTAATGTGGGCCCCATCTCAGGGGGTGGGGAGCCATCTCCGTCTTAGAGCTCAGGAGTTGCAGATGTCCCAGGTCCCCACTGGTTCTCATCTGCTCTCTGTGAATGTGTGCCAAGGCTGGTGTAACTGGAGGGACTTGCAGCCAGTGGGAGTACTGAGATACCCGTAGCGTGTGTAGGCATGTGAGGGCGAGGCAGGGGATCTAGAAGTTAAGGCGCAAGTCCTCAGTGCCAGGCAGAGTTGCTGGGTGAGTGTTGGGGTTATGGTGCATTGAGAGGTGTGTGTGGGGGGTGGGGGGGAGTGCGGTAGTGATGTGATGGGGCAAAAATGTCAGGTACAGATACATTCACTAGGCATGGCCACCAGCATATGGTCATATGTCAACACTGAGGGCACTTAGGCCGGGTCATCGAGTCCAGACATCTGTGGTTTCTGACTATCTCCTCCCACTTCCTTCCACCCACATCCCCTGTCGTGTCTCTCCTCCTGCCCATCTGCTCCACAATTGCCACCATCATCTTGCAATTCCCCATCTTCCATGATAGCACTTGATGACAAGCCACCTTTAAGAATGGTGTGGTGGTTGCACTGCGCTGTTCTGCCCCCTGCTGGGCGAAGAGGCAGCCAGCAGTGCAATGGGCAGAGCCAACGGTGTGGAACTCACTTGGCCCCATACTATCACTGTGCAGATGTGGGTGTGCCAAGTTTCTGATGCCGGGTGCACAGAGCATGGATCGCCACCATTGCGCCCAAAAACAAAGACATGGCAGAGTTTCTGCAACACTATTAGGAAGAACAAGCTGCAGATGGTTTGACGTTGTGATCTATTGCCAAATTCAGGCAGCCTGAATGACTATTTATCACTGTGACTGAATTGGAGGAAGGTAGGTCCAGAGTCTGTAGCTCTTAATGACTTTGTCTCTGCCCTTCCTCCGGTCACTTTTTCCCCCTAATCCTTACTCTTTCTTCTCAGTACTAACGTTGTTTTCCCGCTGAGGTATCCTTTGGAGATATCCTCGCTCTCTAACCCAGGTCAGAGCTCCCAGATGAAACTGGCTTATCTCTGCACAGTCAGGGTATTGTAGAATCATAGAACCCCTACAGTGAGGAAGCAGGCCATTCAGCCCTCTGAGTCCACACTGACCCTCCGAAGACCATCCTATCCAGACCCCTGCCACCACACTCTATCCCTGTAATCCTGCATTTCCCATGGCTAATCCACCTGACCTGTATATCCCTGGGCACTAGGGGCAATTAGCACGGCCAATCCACCCTAACCTGCACATATTTGGACTGTAGGAGGAAACCAGAGCACTTGGAGGAAACCCACACAGACACAGGGAGAGGGAGCATGTGCACACTCCACACAGGCAGTCACCCGAGGCTGGAATTGAACCTGGGTCCCTGGTGCTGTGAGGCAGCAGTGCTAACCACTGTGCCACCGTGCCACCCACAGTATGGATGGTTCAACTACTCACTGGGTAAATGGACTGAATCATGGGCTGAGGGGACTGGCTGAGTGAGTAAAGTTAACACGGTTGAGGAGGTTGGATTGAGAGCTGCTCATTTAACTTGGGAGTCTGCTGTTACCACTTCCAAAAGAGAATGAATTAGTCTCCAGGGAAGTGAATTCTAACAATGGTATGGAACTGTGCATTCGCTAACACTTTCCAAAGTACGGAACCTCACCTTCAGCAAGTGATATGGTCCAGGCTTTTTTATTTAAACCAAATACACCAAGACAGTGAGTCTGTAAATGGGGAATCCAATCAGAAATCTACCTGTAGGGTCAGTGGATATAAGTGCAACAAGATGCTAATATGATGTTCACTGGAATTTCTTTCAGTAAGATTGGCTGGCGATGCAAGTCACCAATGTTAATTTATAGATATTATAGGTACAAATAGAAAGACACACACCGTAATTTGCACCTGCTGAGAGATGTGTTGAATCCAACCTGATTATCTTCTAGCAAAGACAAAGTAAATGTGAAATGTCACACTGCCAATAGTGCGCACTTTCCTCACTACGGTGCCACCAATGCCCAGCTTGGGATGGTACTGAAAAGGAGGGAGTATCGGAGATGGAAGTGGGGGTGGGGGGGAAAAGCACAGCACAGGGTTACAGACACAGGAACAATATATGCCAGAGGCATTCACAATGCAGCCCAGGGCCAGTTACAGCTCATGTCGTCCTCACCTGGGACTCTCAGTGGGTGTGCTGCTCCATTTGTCTTGGGACCGCCATACACAGCCTGCCAGCTCTGGGATGTTGCTGGCGCCAGATATATATAGAAAAAAAATATAGAGCGAGAAAAAGACATTGGCCCAAAATAATATGATTTTGATAACATCAGTTAAACCAGCCTTCTTCCCCACTAATCCCCTTCCTCATCCCGAGTCAATAAAATCATGAGAGGCATGGATAGGGTGAATAGTCAAGGTCTTTTCCCCCAGAGCAGGGGAGTCCGAAACTAGAGGGGCATAGGTTAAAGCTGAGAGGGGAAAGATTTAAAAGGGACCTGAGGGTTAACTTTTTCACACAGAGGGTGGTGCGTGTATGGAATGAGCTGCCAGAGGAGGTGGTGGAGGCTGGTACAGTTACAACATTTAAAAGGCGTCTGGATGGGTAAATGTAGAGGAAGGGTTTAGGGAATGGGCTAAATGCTGGCAAATGGAACTAGATTAATTTAAGATATCTGGCCAGCATGGACGAGTTGGACTGAAGGATCTGTTTCCGTGCTGTATAACTTAATGACTCTAAGCTCTGCATCGTGACCAGATAATGGAGACATGGCACCTCAGTGAAGCTGCTCTTTTTAAAAAGACACACAAAACCTTTGATTTCACTTGGAAGAAAATACTGCTTTTTTAAAAAAGAAAAGGTTTTAAACAAGACATCAGGTTTTAACAAGCGTTTAAAGCAAAACAGATCCCTCACTCATTGGCAACCCCAACAACCAGAAACTTTGGGGTCCGTCAAGGTTTTGCATCATGATCAAAAGAACAAGCTGAAAAGATTAACCCTACGGACAATATACAAGTGTGACAGGATGAAGATTGTCCTTTGTGAATGGCCAAGTTCACAAGATCAGTGTTTGGCCTATGCCAAACAATTTCTGATCACAGTTTACAATTAGTGAAATTGACATTGGAAAAGTTCACTCATCCTTCCACACAATCAGGTGGACATTCACCTCGAATTCAGATCAACTGTACAATTGGATCGAAACCAGCTGAACAATGTTATTGACAACAGAGGATTAGGTTGCTAGGACACCACATGGATACTTACTCTTGAGAGGACCCAGGTTGTCCAGAAAGGGAACCAGACCAAAACTGCAACAATAAAAGATAACAAGGATTCCACAATTAATAAACTTTCATGCATGATGTATTAAGCATTAGGTTCCTTCCAGTTTATTGTTAGATTCCTTTCAGAAAATTACATTTTGAGATACAGCATGTGAACTGCAGTAAGTGTAATGTGTTGGGAGATGGAAAAGGTGGCACTGGACAAAACTCTCCAACGATTTGAAGTTTTACTGATCAGCGTGGTCTAATTGATTGAGCTTGATTGTCCTGATTGCAAACAACTCCTGTAACGTGTGGTTTCGAAGTGCTGGGAAACAATGTCATTAGCTATTCTTTCCTATTGCAATTTCTGACCTGCCAGTTTAGAATTCTACCTGAATTCTTTGTTAGGAATTTTCGGTTCACCAATTTGGCACTTGTCCTGCTGTTAAATTCACAATACTTTGCTTGCTCTGGTAGCTTCCATAATAATTCCATGCTATGGTCTGTGACTTTTCTGAGGGTGTAACGAGTAGCTCAGATAAAGGGGAACAAGTAGGTGTATGATACTTGGATTTTCAAAAGGATTTGATAAGCTGCTGTGCAGTTAATGCACAAGATAGGAGATAGGGTGTAGCATTAGCTTGGATGGAGGGTTTGTTAACATACAGAAAGTAGAGAGTAGGGATAAAATGGGGCATTTTCAAGTTGGCAAGCTGTGCCCATTGTTATCAGCATTAGTGCTGGGGCCTGAGCTATTGACAGAGACACAGAGAGGAATGTATCTAAATGTGTTTATGGTACAAAGCTTCATGAGAATGCAAACTGTGACGATGACACAAGAGGCTGCAAATCGACATAGATTTCATGAGGTTATTCACTTTGGCAACAAAATATTTTTCGGAAGGCGTGAAATATGCAAATATAAATCATCAAGGAGACTTGGGTGGAACAAAAATAATTAGCATGCAGGTACAGCAAACAAATGGGACAACTTGTGACCTTAATTGCAAGGGAATTAAGGCGCAAGATTAAAGAGGCCTTGTTACAACTAACGCACTGTCCTTTTTTCTCTTACTCTCGTACGATGACAAGGCACTCAGCCAGCGATGCCCAAAACCCATGAACTGGAAAAAAAGAAAAATCTTCACCGGGTTGGCACGGCTACAGCTGAACCCAGAAGGCTTGGCTCGGAAAGCAGGGCAGATAAAAATAAGGTGGAGGTTCTACTCCCAGCATTTGTCCAGAATCAGGTCAACAGATACCAAGGCTTTGGATTCCATGGTCTATATTGGAACATCCTGACAAAATGGACATTTGTGACTCATATGGGAAGGGTACCTGTACCTCAGCATATATCACCCACATTCGGGGCAAAAGGGAAATTAAAAGTCAAAAATATAAAGTCTTGGGCAAATATAACTTTTCCTGTTACATTCTGAACTCCTGCTCCGAGGAATTCACATTGCAGTAACTTTAAATGTTGTATATATTATTTACCGATCAAACTACAACTGCTTCCGCAGGCATATGAAATCAGACTTTCTGCACAAAGTTTGTCATAGCAACGAGTAACAATTATCCTAATTGGCACATTCATCCCATACCCTCAGCCATTCATCATCACTGTTGAATATCACCCAACAGCAATGAAAGAGCACTGGCTAAAACACAGTGACATTAAATTGGGAAGTTCTCCTCAAGTCTTCAGCTGGTGACAAGCAAGACATCTGTAAAAACTGATTACTAGCAGAAGGAGACAGATGCTGTCCAATCCATGGCATGCAGGTCCATTAGGAAAATAGTGAGGCATGGGAGATAGGTCGGGTGTTGAATGCTGGTTCAGTTGATTTAGAACAAAGTCAGCAAGTGGCATGGGCTAGTGGAAGAATAAAGGGTCTTTGTCCTCACTCACTGCAATGTGAAGGCACTGAGAATGGATGTGTCCAGTGACCAGTGAAGAGATAAAATCTCCAAGGTGAAATCTCTGTGTTAACTGTTTTTGGGATGTGATATTTGTACATCTGGTCTTTTTACCAAATAAAATCAGACGGTGAGCAGTTTCAGTCCTTGCCTTATGTCTTGTGACTGGGAATTGGAATTCTAGGGATCCTTTACCCACTTCCTGACCCAGAACACCAGCTCCCACCTTACCTTTTTTTGCCACTGCATTAACCATTAGCTGTGAGGTCACAGTACAGTCCAGGGATTTGAATCTGCCCTATTCTGTATGACTTTGCTATCTGTAGTTTTGGTCACCTAGGCTTCAGGGAGCCTAATGACCGACTTACAACCATGCTGTTTCAGATTATGTTGACTTGACACCTTTTGTGGTAAAATTTGGCAAGAACGTTCACAGAAGGAAAGACTTTTATTTACATTTATTTCTTGCCTTGGGGGCTCTGGATGGTGCATTGTTGAATGCATTTAAGCTGCAGTACACAGGTTTCTCAGGGAACCAATGGATATAGGGCGTGGGTAGGAAGGTTCAGCCATGATTGTACTGAATGTTATAACAGGCTTGACAATCCACTTCTGCTCTTAGCTTTCATGTTCACGATGCTCCTGCACAGCTGTCAAAGTGACCATTGCAAGTGTAATCGCCACCTCAAAATAGGAAATGGAGCTTGACATCTACTCTTTGAGACTCCAGATCTTCATTATTCCCAATGCATTGGGTTCTCAGCTTCATTTGTCCTCTTGAGATAAGCATTGATTCTCAACTTTACTTTCGATAGTTTCATTTTTGGGTCACCATTTGAGCTGCCCTGGGAAGCTCATGATGTTACAGAAAGCACCAGTGTCTACCTGTGTCCCTTCTCAAACACTTGATGCTGTCTGTCTACAACCATCATTCCAACAGTCACAAACCATTGATCATCTTTTAGATCCGATACCAAGCCGCTGTACCGTACAGAATTATCCGCGGACATCTCTCCGGTAAGCATTTTACAGACCCGCTTTGTGTCTTTCTAGATAAACGCCGGTGTGTGAAGTTGTTCTGTGACTAGCAGTTATAGCACTCCATTCCCTACACTGTGGATATGCTGTCTTATCTTTTGTGTGGAGCCCTCCACAGTACTTGCATCCCACTCTTGATCTTTCTGCTGACTCTTCTGCAAATATTTCTTCCTTGCCTTCCAATATCTTACATGCAAACATATGAATCAGGAGCAGAAGTTGGCCACTCATCCCATCAAGCCCGCTCCACCATTCAATGAGATCATGGCTGATCTGATGACCCCACATTCCCACCTACCCTCAATAACCTTTCACCCCTTTGCTTATCAAGAACCTATCCACCCTGCAATAAAAACATTCAAAGACTCTGCTTTCACAACCTTTCAAGGCAACAAATTCGAAAGACTCACTCCCCACTATGAGGAAGAAAATTGTCCTCAGCTCTGTATTAAATAATCAACCCTTTCCTTTTGAAAACAGTCACTTCCAGTTTGAGATTCTCCCACAAAAGAAAACGCCCTTTCACATCCAGCCTGGGTCAAGATCCCCTCAGGATCTTAGGTTTCAATCAAGTCACCTCCTCTTTCTAAACTCCAGTGGATACAGGCTTACCCTGTCCAACCTTTCTGCATAAGGCAGACCACCCATTTCAAGTTTTAGTCTGGTAAACCTTCTCTGAACTGCTTCCAGTGCATTCACATCCTTCCTAGATAAAGAGACCAAAACTGTGATACAATATTTTGTACGTGGTCGCATGAATATCCTGCTTAACTGAGGTCAGAAATCACAGGACATCAGGTTATAACCAACAGGTTTATTTGAAAACACAAGCTTTCGGTTCAGGTGTTAGTGACAGACATAGAATTTATAAGTAAAAGATCAAATGGTCACACCACTAATAAGGATGTTTTAAATGAACCTAAGATGCTGTTAAATCTTTAATCT